GCCTCAAAACCCTCAATTTTTCATCCTCTTCACGATTTTCTCAAATGGGTTTGTGCAATTTTACTCCCTGGAATGGTCTGAAACACTTGGGTATTTCAATTTCAGCAAAACCTCAAAAAATTGGTAATTTTTTCTCATCTGGGTTATTGAATTTCTGTTGTTTTATGCTGTTTTTGGATTTAAGTATGCTTGATTTTATATGAACTTGCTGAAATTGGAATTGGGTTTGAGTTGTAGGAAAGAGAGCTAAATGTAGGGGGAAGGTTGTTCATGCTTCATTGTTTGGTGTGGGAGCTCCTGAAGCTTTGGTAATTGGGGTTGTTGCTTTGCTGGTTTTTGGGCCTAAAGGACTTGCTGAGGTTAGTTACTTCTTTTTTAGCTGGTTTTCTTCCTTCAGTTTTCTGAATTTTTTGCAGTATATTTGTTGCTTTTAATAGTAAATGGGATAATGGGTGTTAATTTGATTATGCTGACTGAATAGTAGTGTGGTACTGTAGTTGCTGTTGTTGATTAAGTTGCTAGAGAAGTAGACGATCTTCTGAACATTGGTCAGTAGTTTGTACTACTCGCAATTCCCAAATGGGTGTTGAAGAGAAGTTTTTGATGGATAATAGTCAGAACTCAGAAGAAATGGGGAGGTCTGATGAATATTTGATTGGGGATTGGTAAACAAAGCTGCAAATCGCGGGGTGTTGGAGAGATGTAATACGTTATGTGAATATGCGGTGGCAGATTGTTTATAGCTAGGCTACAATATGAAGTAGGCACTACTTAGATCTTATGGTGCTCTAGACATCTATGATTGATTGTATATAACTCTTGGAGAATTGGAAGTAGATTTACAATTTTTAATTGCAAAAACAGCAGCACGAGGACTATAGGGACAATGGATGGCATTAACTTTTAACTCACATAAATACATCTTTATTTGGTGAATTCTTAATTATTCAGTGGCGGGTTTAAAATCCAGATAAACATCTGCAAAGTACACAAGGCAATAATAATGGTTATAATAATTGCAGCGCGCCTTACTGATGAATGTACTACCTCCGTTAATTATTAGAACCACTACTGTAGTTATTAATTTAGTCTGGCTTTGACGATTTTGACCTGTTATGTGTGTGAGTATGTCTATAGGGAATGCTAGTGAGAGCAAGATAGTTTGTGATTTATCATAGTGATAAAGAATTAAAGATGTTGTTACTACATAGTACCTTCAGTTTCACTGTTACATGTTCCTGTGGCCTTCTCACTTTTCAGCATGGGTTTAGGTTCGCATGGCTTACTTTGGCAGTTTCTTCCTCAAATGATTCCCCCTCCCTTGTCCCCTCCTTCCCCCAACCGGCATTCCAATGGATTTTGACTTATGTAAGGAGTGTGTTAGTTCTTTTACCCTCCCAACTTGTAGTAATTGTGTTCCTTGTGATTCCTCATCAAACTTAATTACACTCACCTATAGACTTCTGTGTAATGAAGAAATGGAATTGTAGATCCCTTGGCTAGAGTCTGCAGTGTTAGGCCTGCTGTTGTAAATTGTAAATTAAGGTGGTTAAGCAGTGTTTACTTTGGTATCGGTTGACAAAACACTCAAGTTGAGAAACTAGTTAAAGTTTGGACTGGATAATGAATATGCTTCTCCTTTGTGTTTATATCATCCACTAAAAAGGGTTAATAGGGTGAAAATCAATAGATAATGTTATTAAAAGAAAGAGGTATGCATTTTGGGTTATCCTAAAATGAAATTACAGATGTATATGTCAGGACAGAGAGGTTAGGTGAATGTAATGTAATACCTTAAGTTATTTTTTCATATACGTGGTTGAATTTACTGTCAAGCTATTTACACTTTGACATGCCTGCATTTGAATCTTGCTCTTATAGATTATAACATTGTATTGTGATGGAATGCAGGTTGCTCGAAATCTGGGTAAAACCTTGCGTGCTTTTCAGCCTACCATTAGAGAGCTTCAGGTTCCTTTGAAATAATTATTTTAGAGGTTTTGACTCTATCTTCTGCTTGGTGATGTCGATTAATCTATTATATCTCTATGTAGGATGTTTCTAGGGATTTCAAAAGCACCCTAGAGCGGGAAATTGGTCTTGATGATGATGAACCAAGGAAAGTAAGACCCACTTATGAATCAAACCCAGCAGATTTCACCCCAAATTCATCAAATTCCAGCACAGAGGAGTCTCAAACTGTGCCTTTCTCTGACCCAAGTTAGTATATTGGCTTGTTTTGTGGTAGCTTTAGCCTTAAGTTTTTATTTTTTATTTTTTTTTATTTTTTATATAATTATTATACAGTAACTGAAGCTAAAGCAGCAAGCATCCTGGTTCCTGAAGCTTTAAAAAAGTTTTCATGCTACTGTTACCTCGGCCTTAAGCTAGCACATTGACCTCTTAATGTTTTTGACCAGTTAACGACCACAAAGAAATTAGCCAAACGTTTTTTCCCTTTAAGGTTGAACACTCATTTATCATCCTCTAAAAATGCTAAAGCTACTGGGCTCTTAGCTCTTGGTCTGACCTTTGATCCATCAAACACAGGAAATACTTTAAATTCTTATTCTCGGATCATGAATAAAGCTGTTGTCAGAACTCAGAAGCCTTAATTGAGTAGATTTGATGCATCTTCCATCTTTGTAATAACTAAAGACAGGGTAGTTTACCTACATGGCTACCCATCTTTATACTGCTTAAACAGCCAAATTCTTGAAGGGCTCTTCATACTTCGTATGATGCTAGGAATGGGGTGTATTTATATTTGTTTTTCTCTTCTCTTCTCTCTCTCTCCCTCTCTCTTTAGCATTAGTCTTCTGCAGTAGTCATGATCAATAGTCGTGTTGCTTGAATAGAACTAGAAACCTTTCTCTATTTATGCTCTTTCAATTCCTGTAGCATGAATGCTGATTGACACAATGAGAAACTGTTGAAAGCTGCATCAAGAAAGATGGGCCATACTTTTGCAATCACCACCTCTTGAACAAATAAATATTTGTATCAGATAGACTTGATGTGATTGTTTTTTCATAAAAATAAGTGAAACTTCATCATTGTTTGACTCCCATGCTTTTCTTTTTCTGCAGATGGTTCTCTGTCTAACAAAGCATATTCTAGTGAGGATTACTTAAGGATTACAGAACAGCAGCTGAAAGCGCAGCAGGAAGCCATGTCCGCTCCATCAGAAAGCCAGGTTGAACCTGAGAGTCAGTTGCAAGGTTTATAATTCTCACTTTACTCCAAATCACTATTGTCTCCCGACCCCCCGATTGTAATACTATACTTCGTATAAAGCTAAAAAGGATGCTGACAGATTGTTAATAAACAGCTTTACAGCAAGATGTCATGTCCTCTCCACCAGAAACCCAGATTGGTCCTGTGAGTCAAGCTCAAGGTCTGTGCTTTCCAACTTGATCTCAGAGTAGTTGCAAACTTGCAATCATTCCTCCCTCCTTTACCCCATCAAAACAAAGAAGAGTTTTAATAGGGAAAACCACTGATGCTGTATTGATAACATATGCAGTTGTACAGCAGGAAGATGTGTCATCTCCACCAGAAAACACAATTGAACCTGACAGCCAACCTCAAGGTTTGTGCATTCAAATTTTACATTTTTCTTTCCCACCAACTACTTCCCTCCAAAAAATAAAATATTTATGCTGACGCTTAACTGATTGGATTTTAGTTGTTCAAGAAACTGCACCTGCTGCGCCTTCAGTTCAGAAATCTGAGATCGATTCATGAGCTATTCCTTGGGGTTGCTTGGATCCCACAATCTGCATGAATTTTTTTTCTTGCTGATCAGTGTATTTATTGATCTCAGCGGGGAACAATGAGGCAGTCTGAGCACCTAGATGTTTGGTTATTTTGTTCACTGGGAAGATTAATGTACGTGCTGCTGGATGCTGAGCCTTTTGACATTAGAGGAGTAGTTCATGAAATTTTGATCTTCTTGAGCTTTGTAAAACCGAAGATGTTCTCATTTTGTTGCATCAGTCAGTGTTAGATAGCGCACTTGTTATTGTATTGATGAAACATTCATCTTGTAAATGTTTGTTGTATTTGTGCTGGAAGCTAGAAATGTAATGAAGAGAGGATAGCTGGTTAATAGGATTCTTTTTAATAGATTGTTTGAGGACTTGAGGTACAGAATGTGAAGGTTCAAAATCTATTTTAATGAACTAACACAAACTTATCATCTTAGCTTATGTTTTTCACTGCATACTAATATACAACTCCGCATTAAGTATTAATTCTTACTCCGTATGTTCATAACAAGATATTTGCTGTTCTCGCTAGCCTTGAGATCTGATCGTAAATTCGTAATGACTGAATTCAGAGGCTGTGGCATCAGCACAATAATATACACAAAAGGGAGACTACATTATAGGACTTGAGTATGTGTAATATCAACATAGCATAGCCAACATTTGTGGTGCTCAAGGTCCACGGCTCTTTTAGAGGTGCCTTCTTGTGCTTCTTCCTTTCCCTTGAGCAACCTAGAGAAGTGAGTTAGGTTAGAGGCTAATAGGTTAATAGCCCTCCTCGAACTGGTTGATAAACCTACCACCTCCGGTCCCTAAAGAAGACAAAGATACCAGAGTTTTTAGAGCCTATACTAGAGTATGGCTAACCTACATCCATATCACCAATGCCCAAGTCCTTAATACCCACCTCCTCGGCACTTTTAACCCACGACTCGTATGTATTCCACTCACCTCAAGAAAGTTATGAATCTTTGACTATTATTTCATCATCACTTTAGCTTATTTGAACTTTTTACAAACAAGTTTTTTGAGCAATAGTAAGGACAAAACTTGTCTCATACAATTTCTATTATACACTCGGGTGTAAAATTATACAGAAATAACGGGGTGCAACCTTTTACTTTTCCTCTCATCATCCAATAAACAAATAAGCAATCCTAACCAAATTTGTAAAATTACAAGTTTGTTATAATGTAAAATTAGGAAAGACTTAGAAATGAGGAGTTAGATCCCTAAAAAAATGGCGGGAAGAGGGTAAAGGCCAAGTACGATCCCCGATATTTAATCCAATTTCAAAATTAGGGCAAAGTTTCTTAAACCCTAGTACTACGCTAATCACATTTCCCCAAATTTCTGGGGAAAAAATGCTAAGAGGAAGAGAAAGCCTGAAAAGAATCATCGGAAAACGAAGGAGATTTCTCCCTAATCTCTCTCGCATCCTCTCTTCTTCTTCCTCATCATCGTCGAATTCTCTGAAAGTTGAAAATGATGAAAAGTTTATAATTAATGATTCTGCAATTACAAAGGCAGAATCGAAGAAAATCGACGATGATTCAGAAGCTGTAACTTCTGGTAATGAATTCGTTATTTGTCCAGTTTGTAGCATTCAGATTCGCAGCGACGATCGCTCTGTTAATTCACATCTTGGTTAGTCTAATTTGAGTTCAAATTTTTCTTAATTATCTCATTTTTTGTTTGGTTTATGATTTGTAATTTGGCTGAAAGTTTATGATTTGTAATTTGGCTGAAAGTTTGGTTTATTTGATTATGTTATTGGTTAGAAAATGTTGTTTATAGGATTTTGTTGCAACTAATTGGTGTTGTCAGATTTGAATTTGATGGAATATAGTTACAAACTTAATACAATTGAGCTGTTGTTGAGTTGGTTGATATGTTTACTAGTTTTAGTTGGCATTGGCAAAGATGCAACTTTTGTTGAGGTTGCCGAATTCATCTTGACAATTGATTAGTGTAAGGTCTTGGAGAGGCGGTTTCCTAAAAGGTTGAAAGATTACAAGTGGAAACAAGCTTTTTCGCTTGTCTTTTCCTTCAAATTTGAATGCTAGTAGTGAAGATCAATGTATGGGCATGATAAAGAAGTCAAATGATAATATCTATAATCCAAATACCCAATGTCACTGTGATTAAGAGGATGACATCCTTAATGAGCTCTACTTCTTGTATTGAATCCATCTTTGCATTTTGATCCTGCTGCTATTATCGCTAATACACGCGCAATCTTACTTATTATATTCAATGCTATTCTTTGTCTACAATAACCACTAAAGTCAATTATTTTTCTGTCTGTTCTTCATTGAAGTAGTCAAATACATTCACACCATACACTGGTAAGAATAGAGTTGTGTCATTTGCTCTCCTAACATTTATGTTGGGAGTATGGCTTTGTCATGACTAATGAGTTATTAGATACAGAGTATGGCTCAAATCTTTTTTCTTTCTTTTTCACAAAAGTACCGTAATTCTTCTTAATAGATATGTAGTTTCTTGTACTTCATTTGGCTTAGACTTGTTTGTAATAGTGCAATCCGTTCTAACTTTTCATTGATCACTTCAGATATGTGTCTTGTCAGAAGCACAAAGCGAAAGCTGAGTCAAAGCACTCTTCTTCAGTTCAGCTTCTGCTCGAAACTCAAAGATAATAAGTGTGTGGATGAGGGGGTTCTTGCTGAAACTAATGTGATTCAAGACAGTGAACCCATGAAGAATGATATTTCCCAGTTGGCCAGCATTAGCAATGATAAAGCAACTTGTGCCATAAGTCAATGTGAAATCAGTGGACCTGATGATGGAACCTCATTGAAGTCATCGTTAGCTTTAGATTCTATTTCACAACAGGAAGATAGTTTAAACATTGTTGATGATAGTATAAATGACATGGTTGATACTTATTCTGTGGACCTTGAATCTGGAGCATCAAACTTTGATATGGAAGGAATTCTTAGTGAGCTATCTGGTATGGTTTTTAAGACATGCATTGTGGGTCGTAAGTATGTAGATGCAGCAGAAATTGTTTCTGGAGCTAGCATTTATTTTCTCAGAGACCCTACCAACATTAAAGATCCTAATGCTATCAAGGTTTATACCTACTATCTCAGTTTTCTTCTTTGTTAAGCTTGTTATGTTGCTAATTTTGGTATAGACTGTATGGTCCACTGAGGCCAGGTTGTTTCTCCAGATTCCGGCAGTGGAACAGTCCTAGGTTTTCTTCCTCGGGAATTAGCTCAGTATATGTCTCCTTTGATTGACAAGTATCAGATCAATTTCAAGGTAGTTTGTTACTAATCTATCAAATGTTTTAGTTCTTTATTTTCTTCTGTTTCTCAATTCTACCCTCCCCCTTTTCAGGGACACAAACAATCATCTTCTTTGCTTATACCATGAATTTAATATCTTGCTCGCTAAGTTGGCTTTTTTATTTTTCATTCATTTTGGCTGTTGCTGTATAAACCTTTTTTCTTGTATATTAATTCCCCCCCCCCTCCAAGTTTAGCATCTAACTTTTCAAAATGTATCTTCAATGAAGATTTTTCCCAAGTGCTGTTCTTGATTTCAATGGTCATGTTTTTGGCCTAGACAAAAATTGCATTCTTTTGCCCTGAACACCAATTTTTGTCACTAAATTTGCTCAAATTAAAAAAAAACATCAATAACGCCGTGATTAGTATGATCTTACGAAGGAAGATAAGAATGGTGGAAATTTCGCAAATGGGGACATTTTCTAGGTAGTTTTTTTTTTTTTTGTTTTCCAAAGTTCTAAGCAAAAGATGGTGTTGGTCTTGTGCAAACACTGTTTAGAAGCTTGTTATGTACTAGGAATGCCTTTGATAAACTCAAGTTTTTTCTAACTCCATTGTTGGCACTTGGCAGTATCTTAATTAATTGTTCTTTGCTCTCAATATGATAACTACAATGTTTGTCATATGTTATGCTGCAGGGAGCCATCACTTCAGTCCCGAAAAATTCCCTGGATATTGTGCCTATTGAGATGATGTGCCTAAATACACCATCTTGTAACGAAGTGGCAAAGGATGACATACCTATGTTGAATTCATCATGTATAAATATTTTTCGTCTGATGAAGTCTGGTGAGATATGTCCACAGAGCCCCATAAAGTACCAGCAGAATTTTAGGCTCATGATTGAAGAGGCTTTAAGGGGAAACCTTTGTCTTTTCACAGATGCTGAGAAGTTATTCTTAGGTAGGCTATTCCCTTTTACACTCAGCTCAACCTCCATATTTAACAGCTATTTCATATTTGTATCACTTGATCGTTTTGAAATAATGTTTCATTGTTACCAGATTCTTTCAGCTCGATGTCAGATGACAGCCAAAGACTTTTTGTACGACTCTACACAAGAAAAGGTTCCATCCATGTCACCATCTTTTCAAATTTCATAGAATTCACAAAATGTAAACAAATAATTGCATTTGCATGTTTGGTGAAATTCTCCACCACATACATATAACATTTGGATAGTATAGAAGTTGCCGTCAAAACCAGGTTTTACCATACATTCATACATACATGTTGGAAACCAGACTCCTAGTGAAACAAACTGATAGTGTCAATGTGTGCTTTGCTGGAGATGTTTTGATACATCTTATTTTGATTGTATACATATTATTTTATCTTCTGTGGTTTCTGTTATGTGTATATCTGTTGCATTGAAGATTGCCAGGGCCAAAAAAATTCTGAAAGCAGTTGAACATTGTGTTTTCAGTTGCATTGGTGTTTTTCTTGTATCATATTTTTGTAAAGTTCCCTCTACAGCGTTCTGGGGCTTAGGGCTTACACACTTAGGTTATTTTTCTTATCTTCAAATAATCAGATAATGATAAAACATACAAAGAATAAAAGGTGTTTTTTTTTTTTCTTTTTTCCGCATCACTCCCTTGGCTTACTTTTAATTCTTCAAAAGAATACTTAATTGACATTGGGAGATGCAGTTGTGATGCATGAATAAATGACATTCTGCAAAGTGCACACTAGTTATTCCTATATGGATTTTTTATTATAATTTTTCTTTCAGGACCATGGTTTCGCATATCTAGTCTTACATATCCAGAAATATTGGATTACCAACAAGCAGTTAATGAGTTGTCAGGTAAATTTTCGTGTCAGCATGTGCTTGTGAGATGTGTATTTCTGGCTATCAAGATTGAATGGTGGATCTGTTGTATGATATTGTCCAACAGAAGCATCCTATGTTTGTTCTTTTGGCTATAAGAGTGAAATTATTGACAATGTTCTGGAAGAACTTTTGCACATTCTTACAGTGAATGAGCTGTGTGAGATCTTGAAAGTACTCAAAAAGGTACTCATTGTTTCCTTATATTTGTTAAATTTTTTTGAAAATATTTGCTTTGATGCCTGCTGATTTGATAATAGTTATTCTTCTTATCCTGGTTAATCCCATAATTTTAGTAGATGATACTTATCATTAACATTCACACTGTCATAATCACAATTTTTTCTATATTCTATTCTGTCATTGCTTATTAAAAAGAGTTACAAGAAGCTTAGCTTCCTTTGTTATCTGGATAAAATAAGGTGGGTTCTATTTTTGTCATTTCAATGCAAAATTATTCTAGGCCTGATGATAGTCCAGTGTTATTTTTGGCCTGCTATCTGCTATATTGTCTGATGAATTGTGTTATTATATTACTATCATGTAAATGCTTAGATGTGTGCTCCATAAATGTTCATTATGTTAATACTCTCCTCAAGTGTAGAGGCAAGGTATAGATGTTGGAGCATGATGGATGAATCTTTCTAAAGATTGGATGATTTCCTGATGAATGCTCCTAAAGTTATTTGACTTCTGATGACTACATAGTAAGAGATATGCTGTGTGGACAGATACGGGCCAAACATTCAAAGACTAGATTTAATAATTTTTGGTTGACCTAGATCTATTATTGCATCCTCTTGATGTGTTACAAGGGTAGTTTCTTAATATAGTATTTCTAGCATTTTGAGCTTCTATTCAAGAAAGAAAAAGGTGGCTACTTCATGTCATGATTTGAAAGACCCTTCCTACCCCTGTGAGCTGTAGTAATTGGCTGGTGAGTATTTGTATTATTAAGCTAGAATTTCCTAGAGCAAAGTCAATTTTATATTTGTTGTATTTTACACCCAAGAAAAATGAAAGATAATTAATTAGTGATTGGTTGGTGTTCAGAGAGAACCTAACCATTGATTTATTATTTTTAATTTCAATATGAAGATGAAAATCCTGACATGGAATACTTTGGTATTCAACTGAAGACTTAAGCTAGATATCTAGACCAAACCCTTAGCTGCTTCAGATCATGAGGATTTTACAGTATTTATGTAAATTGTGATGATACTGTCTCTTTTTCCGATTCTCCATTTTCCTCCTCTTCTTCCTCCCTTGAAAGAAAATGTGATGCTTGCAGAATTAAAAGAAGGGATAAGATAAGGCATTGGGATAATTGGATTATGGTTTTTCAGTTTTTCTCATAGTTGGGCAATGTTATGTTTTGTGAGTTGTGATAGTTGTGCTTTCATTTGGGTTCAGGATTTCAAAGTTGGTTTGAGGAAGAAGGAACTCATTGAATCACTTCATTCTTCATATAAAGATGGACTCTGGTATGATGATGAATATTCAACTTTGAAGGAATATATGTATTTATTTTACCTGTTATCTGTATGTGATGAGTCTTTTTATGGTACTTATGCAGTCCACTCCTCCCAAGTCTATTGATTGATAGAACTTCAACATGTGTTCGAATTTCATCGTTTGCTGAATCTCTTCTGTGGCGTGTTCAGGTGATGGCTAAGACATGCAAATAGTAGGCTCCTTTTTCTTTCTTTCTTTTGGTATTATTCTTCTTCCTCAATATTTCAGTTTTTTTTTTTTTTTTTTTTTTTTTTTTTTTTTTTTTATGCAGAGATTATTTTTCCTGGATGGAGAGCAGGATCTGTCTGCTTTCCTTCTAGTTGACTTGCGAATACTTAAGTATCCAGAGTACAAATGTACTATTTCCCATCCAGTATTCTTTGCCAGAAGTGATTTGCTTGCTTATGAAGAGGTTAACCTCTAGTCTATGCCAATAAATATTGTATACACATTGTCTTTTCCAATCAGTGTTTTGTTAGTGTAGGCCATTGAAGTTGCACAAATCATGGACCAATCCCTTGACGAAGGCAACTCGAAATTGGTGTTACAATGTATAGAGATAGCTGAATTGCAATTGTCAAACTATATTAGAATTAAAGATCAATCATTGCCTTTGGAATCAAAGGCACCATTTCTTCAGTGCTTTTCTGCAGCTTGGGTCAATTCTAAAATAGTCTTGCTTGGTGTTTCCTTCCATGAACAAGAACGCAGGTATGTGTGCTTCAATTTTCAATTGTTTTCTATGATTTGGGCGTGTGTGTAATCATCAGATGAACATAATGTTAAATAAAAGGCAGTGCACACGCCACAACTGTACACATCGTAGGTTATTTCGATGTGTAGGGAATATTTATTTAAATTGTTGAAGGGTGAAGAATACTTCCATTCATGAACTTAAGATTCAGATATATGCAAGTCCTTTGGATTTTTTCTGCATGTTTGTACTTTCTTAATTTGCTGAGTAGAAATTAAGTGCTGCAATCAGCTCTTCTATGATATATCTGTATGACATAATGTCCAAGGTAGACAGTTGTATTCCTGTTGTGATGTTTTGTGATGCTTTTAGAAGGTGATATAGCTGAATTGAACTTTATTTATAGGTACCAAGACGCCATCAAATTATTGAAGCTGTTGCTCAACAGTTGTGCTTCTGATGGAAGAAGGGGATACTGGACGTTAAGATTGTCAGTTGATTTAGAGCACATGGGCTGTATTGAAGAGAGTCTCTGTGTTGCAGAAGATGGGATACTGGACCCTTGGGTTCGTGCTGGCTCAAGAATGGCATTGCAGAGGCGGGTCATACGCTTGGGTAAGCCACCAAGGCGGTGGAAAGTCCCAGGCTATGCTGCTTCTGTCAAAAGAAAGATCACTGAGGTAGCTGTATAGAGATTCTAATAGTTGTTATTTTAAGAGCTTGAAATTAAAAGAATTTGAAATTGAAGCATTATCTATCTACATAGGTCCATATCCAAGGAAGACCACTGAATGGAAAAGTAGGAATGAAGAGCAGATTTTATGGTGAAGATGGTGAGCAATGTGGAGTAGAAGAGCTTGCTTTACAGTTCTATGCTGGAGAAGGTGGTGGCTGGCAGGGTGTCCATACAGAGAGTGGCATTTGGCTGACTATTTATGGTCTTCTTATGTGGGATGTAATTTTTTCAGATGTACCAAATACCTTCCGCACTAAATTTCAGGTATAACAAATTCATACTCTTGTTTTTAGTTGTAATTGAAAGGAGTAGAGCCAAATTGCGAGTTATGGGGCATAAATTTGAGTTTTGGAATTACATCTTAATATCTTATGAAATCTGGAAATTTTAAATTTTTTCTTAAAAAAATTGACCGCTTTACAACATTTTTTTTTCCTCGATCTGCCACGTTTTGAAAGTATTAAGGTGCTTGATTAAATAAGTTTTATTTGTTTGCAGAATGCACCTTTAGATATGGACAGTGACGATTTCTATGTTGCCAGAAAGAGTATTATTGAACTTCACTTGCAAAAGATTCATGAGGGTATGGCTGAGGCTATCCTCATAATGTCGTGGGAGTTGCATTTTGGAACTCTTTGCAGGGGTGTTAATTGGGAAAGGAATTCACTTTCTGAGCTTCGTGCAGCTGTTACATGCATCGGTGGGCCTTGCCTAGCAAATCTTTGCCGGCTTTTGGCTCAGGATTACCGTAGTTGGACTAGTGGAATGCCTGATCTACTGTTATGGCGCTTTCATGGAGAGTACAAGGGTGAAGCGAAACTTGTTGAAGTCAAAGGCCCTAGAGATCGACTCTCTGAACAACAGCGAGCATGGTTGCTTACATTGATGGATTGTGGTTTCACTGCAGAAGTCTGCAAAATAATCCCTCCTGCAGTGACATGAAGTTGCTAAGTTGCTTACACAGGCACTTGAAATTCAATGAATGTTCTATCTCAGAGCTCAATCATTCTGTTGCATTTTTGGTTGTGCTGAGACTAAGCGGATATTCGAAGTTCAGAAGTTGGCCTTCACAGAGAAGATCAAAGTGATGATTGTTGTGAACATTATTTCTGCACCAGCTTGGAGCAGGGGAAGGAAATGAAGCATACATCTTCTGTTACTTAAATTGTAATTTAGACCGGGTGTAGGGTTCACCTTTTACTTATCTTTAAACCTTGCTATAGTTACCTAGTGGGTAGTTTATTAATATGAGATTGAGTATATATAGCAAAATTTAATTTGTATAGCTGAGTTTGTTTGTAATCTGCACTAAGTTTATTTTATCCAAATTTCACAGTTTTTTTTAATCTTTTTTCGACAATTGTAAGTTGTAACCAATTATTAGGCCTCTATTAATCTTGCAACTGTTACTAGTTGGACCATTGATTTTTAGCTTAGTATTTGTTTTTTTTTTTTTAAACCATTAGCTTTACTGTTTTTTTTTTTCTTTTTTTTTTAATAGTAGCTTTACTGCCTTTTTTTTTTGAAGGAAGCTTTACTGCTTTAGTATCTCAATATTCAATATTTGAGAATTCCAATCCTTTTATTTTAGTAAAAATAATCTTATTCAAGTTTTTAAAATTATTAAAAAATTGACATCAATATCGTACATACATTGATACATACTTAGGTGGATCCTAATTTTTAGGTGGATGTTTTATTTCAAATTTTTTTATAAAAAGTACGACAGCTTACATAATCCTCCGACGAAGCTTCAGGTGTAGTGTCAGGAATTTTTTTACTGCGTGGTAGTAAGTGGAGAGGTCGGGAATGATATTATACCATTACGCACTACAACTTACACTAAAGGCAATATCGTCTTTTCATGTCAAAAAGGGAGCGTTAGCATAAAATGAGAAGCAGTTCACTTCTCGTAGACTAGATCTTTATTTTCTTTTTTTCCCCGTTTGGATGTATTTCACGTTTGCGCTGCCCGCTGCACTCCTCTTCCCCTCTCTCTCTCTCCTCCATTGAAGCATACTTTGAATTCTCCATTGAAGCGGCTTCCGAGCTTTCTCTCCTCCATTAAACCAGCTTCTCTTCTGAGGTAAGATGTTTTTTTTTTTTAATTATCGAATATCAATTTTGCAATCTTGTGTTAATCGTTAATTTAATTGGCAGTATTGTCAATTTAGGGTTCTTCTTAGGTGGATTATTGAACTATTGGTTATAAATACTTCAAGATTTAAACCTAATTATTGGAGCCTAGTTTGATAATCGAGTGAACTTTGCTCGTTAATGTGTTGCAGGGTTTGGTTTATACTGTATAACTCTTTAATGTCAGGACAAAACCATGAAAATGGACCTTTGATTAGGGATGGGCCTGAACAATTAGGGTTTTAATTTTCGTTGCATTCATAGTTAGTGTGATTAAGTGTGATGATGTATGAAGCAAGGGAAGAGAAATGGAGTTATGGTTTACTTTTTCTCTGGTGATTTTGGGAGAGGGGCACCAGGCGAGGCAGGGCAAGTGACAAGTTAAAATCTTTCGGGTTGTCGGTTTTTGTGAGGACACTCCTTCGTGTGGTGATTGATGACTAGCTGCAACTTTATTTTCTTTTGAGAATTTCCCTTAATTGTTTTTTTCTTGATTCTATATATTTTCTTATAAAAATTGATAGGAGCAAATCAAGACACCGAGTCAAGAATCATTGTTAATTTTGGTAGTATTTGGTGATGGATTCACCTGAGAGGAGTCGAGGTTATGCCAAAAGGGAAACGGAGGATAGTGTGGATGGCAAGAGGGAGATAGGTGGTGATGAAGAGGAATGGGAGGGGAATGGAAAAAGGAGGCATAGGTTAAGCAGCAAATCAAGAAGAGCTAGTAATGGAGAAGATGTTGATGGATGGGATAGTAGTGGGAGGAGGAAGAGCTCTGGAGATAGAAATGAGAGTAGGAGGATGTCAAGCGGATCCACCAGAGGGGATCTGGATGATGGTGATTATGATGCGAAAAAGGATTCAAGCTCCAAGCTGGTAAGGAAGAAGCAGGAGGTCAGTGCTTTGGAAAAATTGAGCAACTGGTATCAAGATGGGGATTTAGAAAACAGGCATGATGCGGGAGATAAGTCTGGAACTAGAAGCCATACTAGAAGTGATGATAATGAACGGAGTGTGTTAAGGAAAACAACTTCAAAATTCTCTGATCATGAAGGCTCTCATAGGAGTAGTAGAAGCAGGGACGAACGAGCTCGTGACGGGGAGGATGAAAAGGCACTGGAAAAAGATTCATATCATTCAGAAAGGAAAGAAAGCAGTCGAGAGAAGGGTCATGGTTTTACTGAAGAGGTAAAGAACAGGAGAAGATGGGATGACTCTGATGCATCCATGAAAGCTGAGGACAGTAGTTTCTTGGGTAAATCTGATCCAAAAGGCGGGACAGTGTCTGAATCCAAGCATGAGTCCTCTCGTGAAAGGAGTGCATCCACTAGACTTGATACAGGTGAAGGAAAAGAGAGAGTGTTGGAGTCAACCAGTGACAAGAGTAAATCCTACAGCAAGGAGGAAAGGAGGATTGATGCGGATAGGTCCAAGAGCAGACGATCAGATGTTGTAGAAGACGATAGCAAAACTAGTTCTTTAAGTCGTGAAGATAAAATTGGTAAGGAGAAAAATGATAGACATAAGGAGCTGAAATCTTCTGGTCGTGAAGCTATAGATAGCCGAGATAGGTCATCTAATCTGGAAGAGGATGTCAATCCCTGGATGAGGGACAAAATTGCAAGAGAGGTTGGGCATTCTCGGCGATCAGGAAGCCCTGAGAGAAGTGGTCGGCATCGCCATGAGTTGGAGAACTCTGAGATGGAATACGAAAGAGGTAGCAGTTTAAAGCGCAAAGATGTAGAGAAGGATAATTTTAGAGGAGATGATAGAGCAAAAGCCAGAGAGAATAGCTGGAGCGACAGGAATAGAGAAAGGGAAGGCTCCAGAGAAGGCTGGAAAAGAAGGCAGCAGCCTGGCAATGACAGGGATATGGATTTAGTTCATGATCGTGACAGAGATCGTGACTTGCCCAGACGTGGTCGTGATAGGATGGATAACGATAGGAGTCTAGGTAGAGCTGGAAATAGAAAGGATGGGAGGAGCGAAGCTGTGAAGGCCTCTTCGAATTTTGGAATTTCAACTGAGAACTATGACGTTATAGAGATACAACCTAAGCCTCTTGACTATGGAAGAGACGATCCTGGATCTGGTTTTTCTAGGAGAACAGAAGCTGTTCCACTGCATGATCCAAAATCAAATATTCCTGATGAATGGGGACGTTCACAAGATGATCTACGAAGGGCTGATGCAGATGAGGCAACTACTGATGATTCAAGTGTAAAGTATGTGGATGAAGCTGCATCTTCACAAGATCAAAATGCATGGAGGGATGATGCTGATGGTAGGCAAGGGAGACCAAGGGGTTCACAAGGTTCTTCATCTGCCCGACCTTCTGCTAGCCAAAATTCTGGTGGTGGTTCTCAGCCTCCTAATAGCAATCAAGAGCCGAGTAGCTTTGGCAGGATGATGCAGCAGGGTCCTAAAGGCAATAGGCCGGGTAGAGGAGGTAGAATCAGGCCGCCTGGAAGAGACAACCAGCAGGTCAACATTCCAGTGCCGTTGATGGGGTCTCCCTTTGGACATCTAGGTATGCCACCACCTGGTCCAATGCAGCCCATGAACCCTGGTTTATCCCCTGGTCCAGGTCCTCCAGTTCCCCCTGGCATGTTTGTTTCACCATTTTCTCCACCAGTTGTTTGGTCTGGTGGTCGGGGAGTTGATATGAGCTTGTTACCTGTGTCCCCTGGTGTTTCCTCACTTCCTCCTGGGCCACCTGGACAGCGATATTCACCAAATATGGGAGCTCCTCCTAATCCTGGTATGTTTTTCAATCAACCAGGCCAAGGAAGAGAAGTGCCTCCTGGTGCATCTGGCCCAGGGTTTAATGCCATTGTGCCTGTTGGTCGTGTGAATTCAAACGATAAAAGCTCTGGTGGTTGGGTCCCTCTAAAAGTGGTGGGCCTGCAGGTAAGGGGCCATCTAGAGGAGAGCAAAATGATTACTCGCAAAATTTTGTTGACACTGGATTGCGGCCCCAAAATTTTATTCGAGAACTGGAACTTACTAATGTTGAAGATTATCCAAAGCTTCGGGAGCTAATACAGAAGAAGGATGAAATTGTTTCAAAAGCATCTACTCCTCCCATGTATCATAAATGTGATCTTCGAGAGTTTGTTCTGTCTCCAGAGTTTTTTGGGACCAAGTTTGATGTTATTCTTGTGGACCCACCTTGGGAGGAATATGTTCATCGAGCACCTGGCGTGACAGACCACATGGAGTACTGGACATTTGAAGAGATAATGAATCTGAAAATTGAGGTATTTTTCCATAGATGTTTATTTACATATCCCCTTCGTCCAATGATAGTTGTCACATTGTGTTTCCCCCTCATTAGTTGCGATATATTAGTACTTCGAAACTGTTTCCAATAAAGATAGTTTCACCATTCCAAAACTCTCTCCACCATCTAATCTAAAAGTAGAGGCATCGTGTGAAATTTCATCATGAATAAGTCTGCCCTTTGTTGGCGCATCAGGTTATGTACACATAGACATAGTGGTTTTTTGATCTGACAAGTATTTTGTATTGATAATGTAAATGACATGGAACAAAATAAGTTAAATAAGTGGACAATAAAGTGGAATTGATGATATTCTATTTAGATTAGATAACTAATGTTTTGCATACCCCAAAATTGTGTTTGATTAAATCTGTGTTGTGAATTGACACAAAAACATTGTTAATGGCTTGTTTGTATGTTGGCCCAAATCTGTAACACTTTATTGATGGCTTGCAGGCAATAGCAGACACACCATCTTTTATATTTCTTTGGGTGGGTGATGGTGTGGGCCTTGAGCAAGGGCGACAGTGTCTCAAGAAGGTAAGTAAGTAGAGCCATTCTTTTGGCTTTGAGGCCTTACAGAGACTACAGACATTAATGTTTACACTTATCATTTCTTTCTCCATTTGTATAATCAGTGGGGGTTTAGGAGGTGCGAAGACATATGTTGGGTAAAGACAAACAAAAACACAGCAACTCCAGCTTTGCGACATGATTCTCATACCTTATTCCAGCACACTAAGGTTAGTCATAATCTCATCTTGATAAGTTGATATCATTTTAACAGAATTGTTTGTGCCCTGAAACTGTGCTATGAATCATGGTGAAGGAACACTGTCTAATGGGCATAAAGGGAACTGTTCGCCGCAGTACTGATGGGCATATAATCCATGCCAATATAGACACTGATGTGATTATCGCGGAGGAACCTCCTTATGGTATGCTGGTTTTTTCCCCATTCTTTTTGGTATCACCTATGACCTTATAAAATTTTATTTTAGTTTGCTAAACTTTTGGGCTTTGATTTTAGGAAGGTATCTGCATCTACATGTTTAACTTTATTAATGTAATCTATTGAAGCAGATGTGGAATAATGATAATGTTTCTTTTCCCGGATATTAATAGTTGTGAGGAGACTCTTTCTGAAAGGGTTTTGGTTTTTGCTTGTGTTGACAACAGAATTTTGTTTAAATTTGTTTTTACGTGCACCAATGCTCGATTGAGAGTTACTTCTATATATCTGTTGATTTAAGTTATTGACAAGGACTTAATGAGGGTCTGGTCATCAATATTTATGTAGGTTCCACAGCTAAGCCCGATGAAATGTATCGGATTATTGAGCATTTTGCACTTGGTCGTAGAAGGATTGAGCTCTTTGGTGAAGATCACAATATCCGATCAGGATGGCTGACAGTTGGAAAGGAGCTATCTTCGTCAAACTTTAATACTGAGGTCAAGTGCTTGAACTTTAAAACGCAATTGAATTCTGAATATATAGATGCATACACACACACACACACACAGAGGAAACTAGGTGCTTTCCCCAATCCAATTTAAAAGAAAAGAGATGTGGAGCAAGGATTTCCAGGGTCAATAGTATCATCTAATTTAGCAAGGAATGAAAAGTGCTTCGATTGATGCAGTAATGATAGGAAACTATCTCCTAATGTTCCCTATTTTTTTACCAATATAAAATACAAAAATAATAGGAAGCTATTGAATTCTTATTCCCAAGCTATTGATTTCTAGGCTTTACCATAGGTTGACATTAGTTTATGAAACATGGATGGGACTTCTAAAATTTGCACATACATTTGATCTGTATCTTGATGTACATTAGAAAGATTTAAAGCCCCTCCTTCTTTACAGAAAAGATGATGGTTGGATCAGGAATTATACAGGTTATTTCTTTTTATGTAGCTGTCATTTTCTTCTTCTTTCCGAGTAAAATGGTTGTGACATTAATGGGTCAACTGTAGGTTAGGGCATTGGTGAATAAATTCAGATCTTTGTGTGGTGATTGGTTTTAAAGAATGTATCAAATGTCTGGGGTATGCCTTAAGGTTGCATTAGGATTTTTTTAGTATTGTTGTGCCAGTTGAAGGTAGAAACTCAAGTATTCTTGTGACCTGAGAGTCTAGTAAAGTAGTAAGTAGTAACATACTTTTAACATTGTTATTAGATGTGTTTGGTTATTTTGGCGGAAACAAACAGTTGAAGGCTAGTTTCTCACTTCATGAGAGAACAAATTTTATTCTTGGGTTTTATTCTCCAGTTCTGTCCATACAGTGAAATTTTCTTGTATTTTTCTTTGGTTAAAATTTCAGTAGTATCACTAGTATTCTTGAAATCGGAATTGGACACTTTTTTCTGGGATAATGGGTGGACAGGGTGGTAGTTGTGCAATTCTGATGAGAGGGGATTGTGTTGTGTCTGCTAATACCTTCCTAGTGCTAAGAGGTACCAGTAGTAGGCAACTTGTAGGTCCCAACTGAGTCACTTTGTATGAAATGCCCCTTGAATTAAGAGGTATTCTGTCTCAGTAGACTGCTTGCCAGGTCCTAACCTTCCACTCCTTTTGCGTTGCTAGTCTCTAAAAGTAGATAAGATTTCTGTACATTTTATTTACGGAGTATAAAAAAAGAAAGGATTTCTGTTTCCCAACCTAAGGGACTAGAGGAGAAGAGTAGCCAGCCATCATATTTTGGTCTCTGATTATGTAAGTTTATCAAACTAGGTCTTTGTTCTCTGTCCATGCAAAGTACTGAGTTAGTTCATGGGCTCTTTTGCAGGCATATACAAGGACCTTTTCGGACAAGGAAGGGAAGGTCTGGCAGGGTGGGGGAGGAAGGAACCCACCACCAGATGCACCTCATCTTGTCCAGACAACACCTGAAATAGAGGCTCTTCGACCCAAGTCACCTATGAAGAATCAGCAGCAAATGCAGCAACAGCAGTCTAACTCCATTTCTCTTACAACAGCAAATTCCAGCGGCAGAAGAGCCACAGGAAATTCTCCTCAAAATCCGGCAGCTTTTAGCCTTAATCAGGAAGCTTCTAGTTCAAACCATCCTCCACCCTGGGCTCCCCCAATGGAGGGCTTCAAAGGTCCCAACGAGAATGCTTTTGACATGTATGGTTATAACATGCATCCAATGCCGCCAAATGGGGAGTTTCTTGATTTTGAAGCTCAGAGGATGATGAATATGATGTAACGAGATCCTTGTCAACTCTTTGAGAGTAATCAACAGCCAAGTGCCTTTTTTTCCATATCACAATAGGCTGTGAAAGCAAATGCTGGTTTGGGAAGAAAGGTATGAAGTAGATCACGATATATGTGAGTAGACATGTCTCTCAGAGGGAATGTATCATTAGTCTTAGCAATTGTTATTTGGTGATCTTGGAAGCAGGGGCACATTGCTGCCTTCATAATAAGAGATTCATGCATGTTTACATGCATAAGTAAAGCATGGTGAAAGTGAACAGAAGAGGAATATGAAGAAGCTGCTAAAGACGGTATCTTCGAAGACATTGTAGTATGAAGCTGCACAGTTCACTGTACACTATTCACCGGATTCTTATTGCAACTCGAATAGAACACATGGTATGGAGGTGGGACAACTACGCCGAGTATCAGAACCAAGAGAGAACTGTGTTCTAAAGCGCTCTTGAGTATTTTCTCAAGTCAATTTCCATGTGAAACTCTTGGTAATTCATTTAATAGATGAGCAAATGTAAGAATATGCAATTTTGGCTCGGTTGTGTTGTAATATGTTCAAACAATTTTGCCTTTAATTTCTCTCATAAATTCATAATTCTTCTCTCTGCCAAGATAATTGGATGGTACTCAGCTACTAGTGGTAAAGACGTAATGTTCTGCCATGTGTATTTTATTTCCCACTTCTGAGTGTTTTATCATCCAATTTAACCAGGCTTTCGTCCCTATTGCATTACATATTCGCTTGTTCTACAGGTTGTAAATGGTGAAAGTGGTAACGGAATTGTGTTATATATTCGCTTGTCAAGGTTGTTAATGGTGAAATTGGTAACGAAATTGCGTTACATATTCATTGTTCTATAAGTCATGTAATCTTTTCTTTAGTTTGTAGACAGTACAACGTTTATTTCGTCAGCTTTAAGATATACTGTCTTGTACTCCGCAAGTCCGCAATATTGGTGAACACATTTTTTTGTTCCAAATTGTTGAATTGTGTGGCTTCACAATGACAATATTGGCAATATTATTTGCAAAATATTGGAAAATAAATAAATAAATCCTCTTATTATAATTTCAAAGAATTTCAAGGTTAGTAATACAAATTTATTCAACATGTCTTTATTATAAAAACAACTAAATCAAAAATAGACAATATACCTATATTCCTATACAAATATAAAAGACTAATAATTTATCAACCAAACTCGGTAACACAATTTAATTTTTATAAAGTAAAAAAGGTAAAAGGATACATTTCTTTAGAGACACATTCCAATTATATCAACAAGAATTCAAAACTAAAATCTTACAACTAATATCCTTATTACAAAGGCTCCTAAAGACAAGAAAAATGGAGCTAGGCAAAAGTAAAGTCTTTCCCACTATCAATTGTCCATTATTTTTGCCTAACACCATTTTTGTTGTAGCCTTTTTCATCATCAAATAATACCAATCCACAATCATAAAATTAAAACTTATATCTTAAAATAATTAAAACATCAAATTACCAACATTTCTTTAATGATCAAACAATCAAATTAAACCACTTCACCATCCATCAAGAACTTCTTATCCCTCTCCAAATTATCCATTGCCTTAGTTTCCAAACTAATCTCCACATCAATCCCTTTCTCTCCATCCTTCTCCGGGTACAAATAAACCATCCCATCAAACCGGTTATTCGCCCCGCTTCTAACCCGCTCGGGTTTTCCGAACCCAAAATCGACGTCGTAAACCTTAAACCTCGGCGAGCTGCCGACCGCCACACAATTCATCCCGGCATCCTTGTATTGGAAAATAATAGGCTTATCCTCCCACTCCTTGCACCTCTTATCAATCGCCACATTATCGTGTGCCCCAATCGCCGCCTTGACCATCCCGGCGGCGAACTCCGGCGGGTGGCCGAGCAATAATCCGGCGGCAGTTCCGGTGAAGATCGCCTGAATCAGGTTTCCGAAGTAACTTTCCGGCATGGGTGGGTCCACCCTTTTCCGGCAGTCAGCAAAGATGGTGAAAACAGTAGGTTCCTCAGGTTTGAGCTCACGCGCCTCCGTGACAGCCCGCCATAGGTGGGAGGACAAAGCCTGGAAGGTGGAGAAAGGCGGTCCAGCCGGGGCAGTAGTCCCATTAGTGGGCCCAACATCATTATGGGCCGCCTTAATTTTCTCAATCGCGGCACCCGAGAACTTAAAAAGCTTCTCGCGAAGCTTTGGCGCAGCAGCGGCAGCAGCGATGAGATCAGGCTGCGGCGGCGCGTCAGGAATCTCAAGGCTGACGCGCGTGGGGCGGACTTTGACACGGTCCAAGACAGGAAGTTTAGAGATTGATTGGGCCCCATTGCAAAGTTCGGCCCATGAACTCATGAAGTGCCAAGTAGCGGACCCATCTAGTACAGCATGGTTAAATGCTAGCCCAATTGCCAGCCCATCTCGAAGCTTGGTAAACTGTTACATCACAAAAATAGGAGAGAGAAAATTAGTCCAGTGGGCCTTTTCAATTTTAGCTTTTCATAAATAAATATGGAAAATTTTAAACCGCAAAATTGAAAGGACCCTATTAATGATCACTATTCAGTACCATCAATAAGCCCATTAGTAGCGACATTGATTTTTTTTTTTTTTTTTTTTTTTTTTGCAATTAATATTTGACCGAAAAGTTAGGCAGAAATATTAAATTACTCCGTATCAATCTATATAGGACAAAGTTGAGCCGTTATTGTAGTTGTGTTGCTAACATCATATTCATGTAAACTCTTATTACATTCAACTTTTATATGCTAGAATTTTAACCAAAACAAATTATGCGTAATATTATGATCTATACGAACTTACGAAGTAAATCACACACCGTTAGAAATATAAAATAATATATTTCATACATTTTTTGGCTATGACCTTAAGCTTTATCCAAATTTGGACATTCTTCAATTGTACAATGGTACAATAAAAAAAACTCTGACCTAATAATTAAACGATCTACACTAGGGAAATATTTTTTTAGTTTATAAGTTTGGTGAAGAATATAAGGGAGACCAAAAATTGACAAGTATGTAAATATTTTGACTAATTTTGACTTGCAAGAACTATCTACCAACATGTAAAACAACAATTAATAGATGGAAGTCTTATTAGTATCTATACTTTTATAATTTTATATTCGTGGGTTGATGAAGCATTCTCTGAATAATTTATTTAATTCAATCCATTTTATAAAAGTAATTATTATTAAAAATATATATATATATATATATATATATCAACCTTACACTTTAAAAATTTTTTTTTTTTTTTATGACTTTAAAAATAAGACAATGAGGACAAGTCCTCCTCAACCACGGCCATTACTTTCTATTTCCAAGACTAGAAAGACAGCTAACGTTATTTATCATGCATGTGAAGTCAAGTAATTAGATATGGCAAAATATTTGTATACTAATATTTGTATTTTTAATTATAAGTAGTATTTGACGCATTTAATTAATTATTTATAAAAATAAGACATTCTTTCTAGTCTTACATAGTCAAGCTAGGAACCTAGCTTGTAGTATGGGTTTGAAATTAAAATATAAATTAAAATTTCATATTATAAAATATAAATACACTTTTTAGCTTATATCGACTCTAAGTGGACGTGAAATAATACTATATGTGTAGTGTGCGCGCGAACATGATTATGTTCAAGAGAGTAAGATGCATGTAATGTAGTCAAAGAGTTGAACATTAATTTTCTTATCAAAAAAAAAAAAAAAGAACTAATTTACTAGCACTTTATATAATCTTGGTGACAAATTAAACCTTACAATAATGAAAAAATAAAACATGAAATCAAGAATTAAATTACTAGAATGAAGAACAAAAATGTATCCAATTGGTGAATTCGGACCCCACTGAAATCAATTGCCACATCTAAATTTTGTGGCTAACTATATGATCCAAGTAAATGCTTGGTCTGACTTTCAAACCCATTATTTTTTTTTATTTATTTCAAAAGGTTAGACCTTTGTATTCAACCACCCATAGTAATAAGCAAATAATAGTCATGCATAAATTTTACTGAAGATTTGTACAACGTGGCTTGTTAGCCAAAAAGAAGAGCATTTATATTTGAAAGAAAGATGTACCATAACTACTATCTAGATTAAATCAAACCCTACTTCATTTTACATGTCAGTGAACAAACACCCCTCTTCACTAGAAAGTATCTATCTAGAGTGTTCCCCGATAATAAAATAACCGGTCGATAAAATATTAGTATAGATATAGATATAAATTACTCAGCACGTAAGAACGTTACTTAATATATCAATCGAGTAACATATATTATGACATGCGAGTAAAAAATGTTTAAAGGATGATTCATTACCTGAATAGCCAGGAGGGGACGTTGGAGACCCTCCAAATTAAGGATACCATTGTAAGGAACCAAATCTTTCATCACAGTAAACTCATCTTTTGATGATAATTCATCAACACTAACCATGACACCATCATGATTAACTTCAACAATGGCATCTAAAACTTCAACACCATCCATGTCATCATCATACATGACTTTAAACACACCATCATCATCTCTTCCTAGTTTACCAGCTAATTGGTAAAACTCTTCCAAAACAGCACTCATACCTTCCTTCAATTTCTTCACAATTTCCTCAAAATCATCACTATTTGCTTTGTAAATCAACAACTTTTGGTTGTAGAAAAAACCCAAGTAAGGAAGATCAAATGTGATCAATTGACATTCCCTTCTTCCAATTTTCTTTTTGGGTTGAACATGACTTGTTTGGGTGATTTTCACCTTAATTGATGAATCTAAATCTATGTTTTTCTCCTTAATTCCATTTTCCATGGTTAAAATTAAAATTTCTTGTTTCTTTTTGGTGGGTTTTTTTTGTAGAAAATTAAGGAAACAAAAGGGTTGAATTTAAGCTAAGAATAAATTAGAAATCAAAAAGATGATGAATGAGAAGAATGGGTTAAAGATTAAAAAATGGAGGTGAAATTTATAGAGGAGAATTTCAAAGCTTATAGTTGGCTCAAGGGGGGGTGGCATTAAATGGGTAATCACAGGGGTAGCTGTGGGAACATTTAATTTCTTACTTCTCGTTCTTTTCTTATGTGCCTTTTTTTGGTAGGGAACTTGAGTGTACATGCTTAATTGCTATTTTCATGTTTTGTTTTTAGGGTGAAACTTTTTGTGTTTATTGCAAAAAAAATTTATATATTTTTAGGTTTGAGACTTGGGTTAATTACTATATTTTGTGTGGAAATTGTGAGAATGGGTTAAATTAAGAAATTAATCTAACTCCATGACATAAAGAAATTCGCGGTTTAATTTATTCCCTTGACATAGAAATAATGTATATTAGGCTAAGTAGATATTTGTGATAAATAATTAAAAATTTATGCAATGAAATTATTGAATGTGAAATTAGTCTGGCTATAAATTTGTATCTCAATGTTTTGTTTTTTTTTTTTTATTTGTTTGTAATATTTAGTTTAATGTACAATTAGAAAATCTTTACTACTTTTTAAGCATGCATCAATCAAATAGACTAATGAAAGAGAAACTATTGGCTTATTTTCTTGATAGGAATGATGTATAGTGGAAAGTTGTGGTATCTAATACGCTAGTGGGATTGACTAGTCCAAAACCCACGGGACAGGGGCATCAAGAAGAAAATAGGTTGTTTATATAATCTTCTTTCTAAGTTTCTTATTACCTTCTTCCTCTGCTTTTTAATACTAACAAGATCTCACATAGTTATATTTTTCCAAACTTATAAATCACCATAAACTAATTACACTGGAGTATATAATAGTGTAAAAGTAAAACCGTAAATAAATAAATAAAATTGAGGAAGCATTATATATTTTGAGCACCAATCACAGAGACTAATAATAGAGAAACTCATGGTTCATTTTCTTGATAGTAGTGATGTATATTTAAGTGGAAAGTCGTGATATATAATTGGAATTTTATGCAATAGTTGCGTAGTGGAAATGACTAGTCCCACACCCACGGACATCACTCGGGAAGAAAATAGGAAGAAAATTATGAATATGCAATTAATCTAGCAATATATTTGTATTGTATATATTTTAATTATGGTATTTAGTTTCATGTATAATTGAAAAATCTTGATATAAATTGAGCGTCGATGACAGAGACTAATAATTGAATGATCCTACAACCTCTAAGCAACGCGCGTATTAAACAATAAGGCGGGTTTGTGAGATAAAAGTTAATTGTGCAATGTATAAACTATATTAAGATAAGTAAAATTAAAACTAATAATAAAATAGTAAAACCTAAATAAAATGTAAAGCATATAATGCTTCTAAATTTTCTATCACTATTTATTTAGGATGAGTTTTTCCTATATAAACTGTAATTGATATCATTTTCAATATAAGAGAATATAATAAAAGAAAACATATTCTTCGGTATTATTTCATTTTCAAGAATAAATATAAGTAGGTGCGGCAGCTCTACTCGTTTCTCATATAGTTTATAAATATTACTTATTAATCTGATCCAATCACCCATTATACTTCCGCTGTCTCCAACAAATTTGGTATCAGAGCCGGAATAATTATATCATGGCTTCCAGTACATCAACACCATTTTTCTCTTATTCCCAACCGACACTTCCTATCTTTGATAGAGAACATTATGACTATTGGAGTAGTCAAATGCAAACATTCTTTATATCCCAAGATTTATGGGAGCTCGTGGAAGGAGGCTATGAAGACCTTCCAGAAAATCCTAATGAAGCACAACAAAAACTACACAAGGAAAACAAGAAAAAAGATGCACTTGCTTTACGATATATTCATGCAGCCGTGAGTAAAACTATATTTCCCCGCTTATATGGATTGAAAAAATCCAAAGAAGCTTGGGATACATTAAAACAAGGATTTCTAGGAAATGAAAAAGTTGTTGCTGTTAGATTACAAAATCTATGGAGAGATTTTGATAATCTGGAAATGCAAAAGACAGAAAATATCCAAGTTTATTTTTCACGAGTCACGGAAATAGTTAAATCAAATAAGAAGTCTCGGTGATACATTAGAAGAAAAAAGAGTTGTTCGAAAAGTATTAAGAAGTATGACAGAAAAATATAATTCTGCCACATTTATAATAGAAGAGTCTAAGGACTTGTCAACTCTCACAATGCATGAGTTGATGGGATCTTTGGAATCACATGATCAAAAATTGAAAAGAAATGCAAATACCGATCAACTTGTAGATCAAGCGTTTCAATCCCAACTTAACATATCAAACAAACAATATCAAGGAGAGTCAGAGAAAAGAGGGGGAAACCAAAGAGGACATCAATATGGTAGAGGCCGTGGTACCCAAAATTTTAGCCGTGGCCGAGGACAAAGTAGAGGAAGAGGTCGCGGACAATATCAAATTTATCAACAAAGGTCAAATAATTCTTGACGTATTTGTGGTAAGTCTAACCATCAATCATCTGAATGTTATTTTAAATGTAAGAGATGTCGTAATTCAAATCATTCTCAAAAAGATTGTTGGCATCAAAATGAAATAATACAAATGAAGCGAATTTCACCGCTAACGCTGAAGGTGAACAATTATTTCTTACGTGCATGGATGCACAAAATAAGTCTAGCAATTTATGGTTTCTCGATAGTGGTTGTAGCAACCACATGACAGGAAATAAGGACATGTTCATCAACCACAAAATCAAGTCACCTTAGGTGATGGAAAAAAGGCAAACGTCGAAGGACGAGGAGTCATTGTTGTTAATAGCAAAGCAAATAACACAAAATACATACATGATGTTCTTTATGTGCCTAAATTGACACATAATCTCCTAAGTGTTGGGCAACTTGTTCAACGAGGATATTCAGAAAATTTTGACAATGGGGAATGCATTGTTACGGACAAAAAATCTGGTACTATATTGGCGAAAGTACAAATGGCTGATAATAAAGTTTTCCCGCTTCATATGCCACAAAAGAAGCTGGCATTGCAAGCAAATGTTATGGATGAATCTTATCTATGGCACTTACGATATGGACACTTGAACCAAAAAGGATTACAATTATTGAAACAAAAAGACATGGTCGTGGGATTACCACACATTGATAGAAATATTCAAGTTTGTGAAGGATGTATATATGGAAAAATGCATCATCTTCCATTCCCAAAAACTTCATGGAGAGCTAAAGCTCCTCTTGAATTAGTACATGCAGATATATTTGGCCCCACAATAAATCATTCTCTACAAAATAAGAGGTATTTTCTATTATTTGTCGATGATTACACTCGTATGATGTGGATATATTTTATTGATCAAAAGTCAAATGCTTTCAATGTATTTCTCCAATTTAAAGCATTAGTTGAAAGACAAAGTGGTTATATGATAAAGACATTGAGAACTGATAGAGGGGGTGAATTTATATATAACCCTTTTATGGAGCATTGTAGAAATGAAGGAATAAAAAGACAATTGACAGTCTCACGAACACCTCAGCAGAATGGTGTAGCAGAGAGAAAGAATCGCACAATTGTAGAAATGGCAAGAAGCATGATGGAAGAAAAGACTCTTCCTAAAACATTATGGGCTGAAGCTGTAAATACAGCTATTTACATACTCAACCGTTCACCAACTAAAGCAGTTAGTAACAAGACTCCTTATGAAGCTTGGAATGGTAGAAAACCGGTTGTTAGTCATTTAAAAGTTTTTGGATGTATTGCATATGCCTTAAACAAAGATCAAGGTAAAGACAAGTTCGATCCCAAAGGGAGAAAGTATCTTTTTGTGGGGTATAGTGATGAATCAAAAGGCTATCGTCTCTTAGACCCACAAGCTAAGAAGCTAATAGTCTCCAGAGACGTTATATTTGAAGAATCGGCAAAATGGAAATGGGATGATGAAATAGTTCATTTTCCTGTGCAAGAAGAAGCTATAAATTCTCGTAACCCAGCTCCAACAACAATAAATAATGAAGCAAACAGTCCGCATAGATCTCCTAATAATGTGTCAAATACACAAACACAAGAAACCTCATCTTCTCCACTTTTAAATCAACCAGGAAGAATTAGAAAAAGGCCTTCTTATTTGGATGATTACGAGTGCTATTTATCTAAAGCAAATGACACGGAAACATTAGCTTTATTTGCAAGTGAGCCTTCTAGCTATAAAGAAGCATCAAATGACGATGTTTGGATAAAAGCAATGGATGAAGAAATTGCTATGATTGAGAAAAACAAGACATGGGAGCTTGTTGATTACCCTGAAGGTAAAGATATTATTGGTCTAAAATGGGTTTATAAAACAAAACTAGACCAAGACGGAAATATTCAAAAACACAAAGCAAGGCTTGTTGTCAAAGGATATGCTCAAAAATCCGGAGTTGATTTCAATGAAACATTTGCTCCAGTAGCTCGTATTGAAACCATTAGGACAGTGTTAGCCATAGCTGCACAAAAAGAATTATATGTTTATCAGCTTGATGTGAAATCCGCATTTCTGAATGGTGTATTAGAAGAAGAAGTGTATGTGGAGCAACCACAAGGTTATGAAATTCAAGGGCAAGAAGATAAAGTTTATCGTTTACATAAAGCGCTCTATGGGCTTAAGCAAGCGCCAAGAGCTTGGAATAGTAGAATTGACAAATATTTTATGAATAACGGATTCAAAAAGAGTCCAAGTGAACCATCACTTTACATTAAAGAAAACAATGATGGGCATTTTCTCATTGTTTGTCTTTATGTTGATGATCTAATCTACACTGGAAATGATATGAAACTCATTAATGAGTTCAAAGAGTCTATGATGCAAGAATTTGAAATGACAGACTTAGGACTCATGAAATACTTTCTTGGAATTCAAGTTACGTAAACCAAGGGAGAAATTTTCTTTAATCAAGAAAAATATACTGTGGATCTCCTAAAGAAATTTCATATGGAAAATTGCAAACCAGTGAATACTCCTATGCCATTGAATGAAAAATTAAGTCAAGATGATGGAGCTAGTAAGGTCGATGGTAATGTGTACAGAAGTTTGGTAGGTTCTTTACTATACTTAACTCATACAAGACCTGACATAGCTCAAGCAGTGAATATGGTATCAAGATTTATGAATAATCCTAGCAAATTACATTTTGCTGCCGCAAAAAGGATATTACGATATCTTCAAGGTACTAAGAAAGTAGGTCTAAGATACCAGAGTGAAG